GAAAACAGTTTTACGTCATAATTCATAACACACAGTACAAACTCACAAGCTACAAGAATTCGTGTGCTGACCAATCTTGATTCAAAGCTATACCACTTCCCGATAGATCTTTTACCGACATGATGCTGTTTAGCGTCTTAAATTCAAGCTTGTTTCTCAGTTTGGTTTTAATCAAGCTCAAATCGAAAAACCTGCGTTCAGCGGCAGCAGAACTATGAGGCAGACTCATTAACTTAAAGACGAAATTTGTTAATTCTTGAAATGCATTTTCTCCAACCCCATTTTTTATTATGGATACCTTCTCCCAAAAATCTTCAATATTTGAGTAGTCTTTGAAATCAGCACACCTAATCCTGAGTAACCGCCACTGTGTTATAATATCATCAGGGTCATCGTCGATTAAATGAGCAAATTCTTTTATTAAAGGTAAAATAGATACGTCTGCTTCAGAAAAAATACTATGCGGAGTTATAATAGCTAAACTTTTGATATCTTGTCTACCGAAATCGAACCGAACTGATATTTGTTTTAGCAATTCAATATAGAAATTACGAATATTCACCTTAATGGAATGCCGTTGATCGTTTGTAAAAACATCGGATTGAATATATTTTTCCGCTTTCGAGCCTATGTGAATTTTATCGACTGAAAGAAAATATTCAGTATTTTGTACATCAATTAATCTTAGGTCGTTAGCCCTTTTAACATAATTGTCACAAATATAGTTACTAAGGACTAGTTTAACATGTGTTTCTATATTAGTATATAAATATGGAAGCCTTACGCTTTCTGCCTGAAACTCCTTATTCAGGTTGTATATAATTTTTAGTATGTAACTTAAAAACAGCATGTAAACTTTAAGTTCTGCATTACCCATCAGATTCGCCAAGTACTGTGACTTTATTCCATTTACTTCTAAGCAGCATGATAAAAAATACAATTGCAAGGCCTCCCACTGCTCGATAATCCGCGATATTACTGCCTCCAAAGCAAGCCATCTGGTAAGCGATATTCCTAGAATTTTGTGGGGCTTTACCTCACAAAAGTCTTGAAACTCCTTGAAGTCTTTTATACGCTTGGGGCTATATGCAAAAAATTTGTAAACGTTGCGACATAGCTCCTCAATTTGATGCGGAAGTTTTTTACACGCGTAACTGGAGCAAAGGTGCAGGGAGTGGCACGTACATTTAATATAAAATAAGTTAACGTCCGCTTTTAACTTTGTTTTCAATCCGTTTAAACAACCCGCCATAGTGCTGGCACCATCCGTAGCAAGACCCATTAAATTTGAGGAATATTGTGAGATTCAAAAAACAATTTAATCGCTCGATAAATAGATTCGGAGTCGGATTGATCTAACTCAATCAATTGCAAAAAATGATCTTTTACTTTACGCGATAGTTGGTCGAAATATCTTACAACCAGTACTAAGGCTTTTCGGCAAGACAAGTCTGTGGTTTCGTCGACAATTAACGAGAATTTGCTTTTTTGCAGCACATTTACAATTTTATTTTTTGATTTATCGCCTAAAATTTCAGCTAAAGACGTTGCCTTTGTTCTGTGGCATTTTAACGCTTTTGCTATTTGACTATCAGTGCAGCAATCGTATAAAAGACCAGGTAAATAATCGACCAACCGAAAGGGCAAATTGTACATAATACAGAAAACAACAATTGTAAACTCCGCATTGCGTACCTGTTTAGCTAATGTTGCCCTTTCTTCGTTAACAAATTCATCCAATTTCAATTGGTTTTTCTTCTTTTCAAGGTTGGCGCAATGTGTCTTAATTTTGGCATGCCGCGTTAAATGTGATAAGTTATTAGTTATTCTTTTCTCGCAAGCCACACAAAACGCTTCTCCATCGATTTTCTTAAGCCACGAAAATTGTTGCAGCCATTCCTGCCGGAATTTTCTTCTTAAGTTAGCGCTAAAAAGAAACTTAAAATTGCAGTGCACATATTGCTTTTACTTCAAAAAACTCTACCTTGTCTCCGGGGTGCAACTTTCCTCGATTTCACTGGACTCTTCCTCTTCTTCAGCAGGTTTAGCTCTTTTCGCTTTTATTATAAACCTGAAATAGTTTAACATATTGTAAAAATTTTGCAGAAATCGAATTTAAAGTACTTACTTGTCCATGTCTCTATTTTGCGTGCACTCAAATGGCTTTTCTTAAGAAGTGCTACCAACACTACAGCTTGCTTGAATTAAGCAAATAGTCTGTTCCAGTACCTATCAGATTAACAAGATTTAGTCAGAAGCCGTTCCTATTTTTTTCTGAATACACCCTATAAATCTGACGGTTGCTGGAACAGACAAAAGTTATTCATAAGTTGGTAGGATTGTTTCATATCGCAGCTAACAGGGTTGTAGTTCTTTTTTACAAAATTGAAAGCATACTTTTTCGGAAAGTGAATTTTGTGTTAAGAGATTTTCTTGAAGTAATTTTATTTAGATAATGGCCCGTAGTCATAGTCAAAATAAAGTCGACTTTAAAGTTAGTTGCAGCT